AATGTATGTGAGTTAACGTTAACAAAGATTAACTAATGCTGAACAGAGGTGTTGATCATGGTCAGTTCATGTTAACTAATGGATGAACTAATGTTAACTAACTGCGCTGTTAATATGAATAGATGCACTAATGTATGTGAGTTACCATTAACAAAGAATAACTAATGCTGGACAGAGGTTTTGATCATGGTTAGTTCATGTTAACTAATGCATGAACTAATGTTATTAACTAATTCTGCTGTTAACGTGAATAGATGTATTAATATATGTGGGCGTTATCGTTAACAAAGATTAACTAATGCTGAACAGAGGTTTTGATCATGGTTAGTTGATGTTAACTAATGCATGAACTAATGTTAACTAACTGCGCTGTTAATGTGAATAGATGCATTAATATATGTGTGAGTTAACGTTAACAAATATTAACTAATGCTGGACAGAGGTGTTGATCACGGTTAGTTAATGTTAACTAATGCATGAACTAATGTTAACTAATTGCGCTGTTAATGTGAATAGATGCATTCATATATGTGCGAGTTAACGTTAACAAAGATGAACTAATGCTGAACAGAGGTGTTGTTCATGGTTAGTTCATGTTAACTAATGCATCAACTAATGTTAACTAATACAACCTTATTGTAAAGTGTTACCCATTTCATTAACTCAAACACTTCACAAGTGCCAATCAAATTGACATGAGTGTAGAAAACACACACACACACACACACACACTCTCACACGCACACACACACACACACACACACACACACAGACTCACTCACACTCGTACACACACACACACACACACACTATATCAACAAACTGTTTTAAATACATTTTTTCAAATAATTCAAAAACATCCTGATGAAATTAACATTTTTCAAGCAACATTTTGTGTTTCAAAAAGGTAACATGTTTTTAGTTTTATTTTATTTATTTATTTGTATAAATAGGGTGAATAACTCATAACATAATTTATTTTGGATGAATTATTCCTTTAAAAAGTGTCCAACATACTATTTTATGCAGTGGTTGTGCTTCTTCTTCTCAACTAACCCATCAAACATGAAGACTCCAGCATAGAAGTGCCACAAGCACCAATCGAATGTCCCTGAAAGACGTTTTAATGTTTCATTGTACCTCAAGCATTTCAAGGATTAATCTATAACTCAATAAAAGTAATTTCAAAAGATGTTCCTCATTGTTCCGTATAGAGCTGGAGAAGAATTCTGTCTCCATGGCAACGTGTCATCCTGGTTCCCAGCATCTTTTAATTTCCTTAAAGAGCATTGGATTTCAAAACATGTTTTCGCTTTTTGCTTATCCGACAGAACTGATTGAAATTTAAAAACTGTCATCATGAAGGAGAATAAATCTTATTTAGCAGCCAGGCAGACTGACAGGCATTAGAAATTTACTGGCGTACACATCTACAAACTTTAATGGCAGGATGTTTGTCATACATTGTGACATTACGAACTTAGCTCTTTGTCATTGTTGTTTTACTTACCATCTCTTTCCTCATTTTTAAGAGTGTATATGTTAAAAATTCAATATTTTTTTCATTTATTTCTATTTGTATTTTTTTGTGCATCCCCAATAATACTGCTGTTATGCAGTCACACCAAGCATTTAAGTGAGTTTTTACATCAAATGTGTTTGGTTATGACTGAAATAAAGAGTGACAAGAGACCACAGAAGTCATTAATTTGACTATTTTTTTTACATGACACAACACTTCTGGGAACATTTGACTAACCAGCTGCCCTGATATTTTAGTTCAGCATTTATAGAAATTTAGTATGCTTGTACAACTCCATTGAATTAATTGCTTTTGCTTGTAATATTCTCAGTTGCACTTTAATAAATGTAAATGCAAATGCAAATCGTGATCTGAAAGTAGCTTCATTAGAGCTCATTACCAAATTAAGTAATATTGGAGAATTTAATTCTGAAGCAATCAATCTTCAATTTTATTCTAAATTAAATGTTAATTTGATTGTTGATTTTCTCTATAAAGTGAAAAAGGTCATTACCAGCACACAGAGTATCCCATTATACAAAACCCACCTGAAAGTTGATCAAAACCACAATCAAATCTTTATTTTATTACTCTTTATTACCATATATGTAACAGTTTAATAAGGTTTCTCGTCAAAAGAGCCCCTAATTAACAAAATGAGTCGTGTTGCAGAAAACGCACACAGCCAGCAACTCTCGGCTTCACTCTGTCAGTCATTTATTTGTTGGCAAACAAGTTTCACTGTTACAACAAATATTAGTGAGAGTTCATTCAACCACAGGATAAAAAAAGGGATAAAAGAATAAATAAAATCATATTTGTAATGATAAAAAATCTAATATGTGCCACATTAATTTTACCCCCAGACATTTTTGCAGAATAGTTTGTACTTCTTCCCTCAGTGAAATAAATAACCATTCATTCTCCACCAGAAAAATACAAAAAAAGCAAAAAGAAGGTATGCTGGATCTCTGCAGCTAAATCACACAAGTGTCACTCTCTCTGAATGAAAACGACCTCCGTTGATCATATACCACGATACTTCTCATATCTCTACTCCAAAATGGCAACATATTTTCAATGTTGAGCTTCCTTTCTTCATTCATCTACAAGCTGGTGTCTATAAATCAAAGAGAATGAGGAAAAATAAGTATTATTTTTTGTCTATCCTCTCATTTTTGTTCTACTTGCCATTATTCATCCTGAAATGAAGACGTGAATGTAAAATATATAATTTAAAAAAGAGCAAGGGATCAAAACCTGTCGTTGAGGACGAGACCATCGGGAGAGAAAGGAAATTATCTGAAATCACCATGGTTACAGAAGCGGAGGGCATAGGAACAGAATAAGCATTATCCTGTGTAACACTAGTGTCTGTACATTTACATAGAAATATTGTAGAATTCTCCGGTATTAGTTCTTCCCCCGCTTCTCGATATTTGTTATTAATACAGCAAAGAACAGAAAGCGTGTGATGAAGATGCCCTTCTTCGTATTGTTCTCCGTCGCAGCAAAACGTGCTGCTTTTCACCACGTGAGAAGAAGAAAATATTTAAAAAGCAAATATGGATACAGAAGATATTAAAATAGTTTTCGAGTCACAGACTTGATTGGTATTGACTAGACGCGCTGAGCTACTAACAATGTTTTTTGCCAGTTATTTGTATTCCTTCGGGGTCGCAGAGAGTAAAAAAACCTTGAAATCTCACACTGCCCCGCAAGGTTACACAGCAAATCAATTTTCGGGTCCGTTTTCCCTTGAAGTAGAAGTGCACTACCAATAGAATCCAAAGGATGTCAGGTTTCATTCCTCAACAAGCAAGAATACCCATAATCCTCTCCTGAATACAAAATCGCCTCCCAAGGTTTGTTGCTGCAGTTAATTTCTCTGCGGACACGGAAAAAGCAAAAGTGAACGACTGCGGACGACTGAACGGTACGGAAACGTAGAAGAGCCAGCGGAGGTCGAGATGTCATGGGTTACGGGTGTGAATGCGACGGGGTTTGGCGCCCTCTATAGGCTGGTTACCATGTGTGCGGTTTCCTGCGGCGTTTCTTCGGGCGAAAGCTCATCTTTGGGAGGAACGATAAAGCCGTCGCTGCTGCCGCGGCCCAGTTGGTAGTAGCTATGCAGCTGGTGCAGATGGTTGCGCGAGCCCAAGTTGGGCATGCTCTTATAGTAAACGTCGTCCGGCTCGCCGCTTCTGGGGCATGCTCTTATAATACACGTCGTCTGGCTCGCCACTTCTGGGGAGCATGTGCGTGCCACCGCCGTGGGGCAGCGAATGCGTGTCGGAGCGTTCAGGGTCGGGCAGCGTTGGCATGCTGGTGTAGAGCGAGTCTCTCTGCGGCGATAGAGTCTCTTCCGTTTGCTCATCTGTCAGCAGAGGGAAGAAACTCTCGCTGTTTTCTTGCGGAAGGCTCCGTCGCGATGAAGAAGCTGAGCTGAAGGTGGAGGGAAGAGGCTGGACGTGGCGTGGCGGCGGAAGCAAGGGTGCATTGGACTCCTCCCTGATCAGCTCCAGCCCTAGACTGTCCTCGTGTGGGAAAGATGCAGAGTCGTCCAAACCCAACGCAAGATTGACAGGCAGCATGGGCGAGTCCTTCACCCCGCCTCCGTTGCTGACTTCGTTAACCAGCTTGTTCATGAGGTTGCATCCGTGCTCGGCCGTGCGATCGTGGTTGTTCAGGTAGGTGGGCAGGTAGTTGGAGGTGAGCTCTTTCAGGATCCGTTTCTCCAGCGTGGTCTCTTTGTGTACGTTGTACGTGCGGTCGATGATTTGCACGCAGTCGCTCATGTAATCGGCGCTGGCCAAGCTGTAGCTGTTGCCATGGTTACCATTCAGTGGTAGAGTATCCATGGCACTTGTATCCCGAGCATTGTTCAGGATTCCCTCTGCGAGACGAAGAGTCAGAGAGAAGAGTAATTAAAATCACTTGCGCCTGGCGCATCTGTAAGTCCGACATGCAAAACGGCTCGCTGAAACAAACCGAAAAACCTTGAAACCATTCGTCCCTGAGGTGGACGCTCATTGGGCTTCCAAACCAGTGCTATTTTGGGTATTGATCGGATTCGTCAGGGATTCAAGGCTGATGTGAGGTTTAAAACTCATTCCAGAATTCACTGAAACGTGCCAGCTAAGCCTGTGATAATTGACTTACCTGTCAAACTCATCTTTTGGCTATGAATTTGCAACCTCGATTGTCCTCATCTCACATATCAAATAACAAACAAATCACTCTGCAAAGCCGGCAAACACAACAGAAACACAATGCACGAACACAAACACAAACACACAACAATACACAACAGCTAACGCACGAAAAGCTTTCGTCAAACCAAATCATGCTGGCCTTTATATAACACTCATGTATCATTAGGTACAGAGAGAGCAGCTTCTCCGCCTATAGGTTTCTCTACGTTAATTAAATTTTGCATATTATCAGCGTCTTGAAGTTAAATTCTTCATGAAAAGAAGTGTGCAAGCGTGGGCTATTAACACACTCCCACACCCGTATAACAAAACGTGGGAGCACTTTCTTGTTTACCAATTTTTAGCTGCATCATTTGAGCATAAACAAATAAACAGCATTTGTTTTACTTATCAGTGGCTTAGACAAATATGCAAATTTTAATTGGGGGGAAAAAGACCACCGAATTGTCCACTCAGCTTCTATTTTAACAAAAGCATCACTTTGCGTTGAATAAGAGATGAGAAAATTAGGTTTTAATTTTAATGAGGTTGAGAGTGCTCTCTGATTAGAATATTGACTAAAACATCTCTTAGCAGAATGGCGTTTACTATAGTTTTAAGGAAAGAGTAATAACGGTAAGAGAAATTACATTTGGTAAGCAATGTTTAGTTTGACTCCCATACTTGTCTCTCTGTAGGGCTCTTAAAGGACAGCATGGAAAAAGGAAAGAGAAAAAGGTACAGGTAAGCATTCACAGTGAACGCTCAAATAGAACATGCACACAGATTAATGAAGCGCAGGTAAACGGTTACGCTCAACCTCCTCGTTTCACCTCTCAGATACAGACACACACCACCGTGTCCCCTTGCAAATCCCAGGATGCACATGTAAATGCCATAAAATTGTGCCCCCTGAATGTCTGGAGGGCGCAGAAATGGCTTCTGTCTCCATTAGTGACGCGCTCCGCTCTGAATGCGGTTCCATGGTTAGACTTGTATTCGGTAAGAGAGTTATTGATCGGGCTAAAGAGGAACATTAAAAGTGGCCTGGGATCTATTCGTAATTTCGGGGCTTTTATTGATATTAGATTTCAAGGTCACTACAGTGTTGTCACTGTAGATGAAGAGGTTGTTATCCAGCGCTCAGCCCTCCCCACTGACGTTGTCCAGAAACGCATCTGTCTCTCTGTCTCTAGAGCCTTCTGAATTCTTTCAGATCTATGCGTTAGTGGAGGTGGCAGTAACAGGTGGTGACGGGGAGAAAGCAGATCACCAGTGCAACAGACAGACAGGGCGAGACGGAGTGAGACAGCTGCATGCAGAGATGCGTTACTGCTAATAGGAGAAGCCAGGCCTCCTGCGGGCATCTCAGCGTGAGAGCGCGGCAGATTCATGTTCTAAAAGAATGCGATAGGCGTATGAAGTATTGCTTTGAAAAAAACAGACCTTTTTTTCCATGCAGCTCTGAAAAAGCGTGCTCTGTTGAGGCACATCAGTGCTGTGACACGCCACAAAAAACTTCTAGCATCTGTCCAAACCCTTCTGCATGAGACACATGAGAGTGACATGTCTTCATAAGAGTGGACATATAACGAGTGCATGTATAGTGCATGTAAGTGTCATTATACCATGCTCGTCCTGAAATGCCAGGCAATAATGGATGTATTAAAGCCTGCAGTCACATTGCTGTTATGCCATGCTCATCCTAAAATGCCATGGCTCCTGCAAGCATTGCAGCATGAGTGCATGGTAGTCTGTCCTGACACTCTAGATGTGTGATGTCTGAGTATTTGCATGCCAGGAACGCATTCAGCTGCATGAATGTTGCAACATGCCACAAAAAACTGTGTAGCATCGCTGTTGCATTAGACTGGCACATCTTCAGAAGAGTAGACTATTTTGTCTTATGATTCGGCACTGATGCATTTATAAAGTTTGCAGTTGCGTTTCTGGCTAGATGAAAATGTCCTTATCCCATGTTTGTACCAGGTCTCTTGAGGTCATTGCAGCAGATTTTTGGTCTGCAGATGTACGGTAATGAAGTCTTACTGAGTGTTTCACATGCAAGAGGCACATTAATTGTTTTGAGTTGCATCAAGTCCAGTGTGACTGTCCAAACCCATCTGCACCAGACACATTAGTGTGGCGTGACTTCAAAGGAGCAGGTGATTTGATTTTATTCTGCAATTAGGCACTAATGCCATATGAGTCGCATTTCTGTCATGCCGCTAAATGTAGCCATCAGTTATTATAATTATTTCAGCTCTATGAACTCATTTTTCATTGGGAATTACGTGTTTGTTTGGACCAGACTGTACCAGACAAAAGACAAAGATGACCGCAAACATGTTCAGCATGAAGCCACATAGCAGAGCCCTTTTCCTCAACTCACACACACACACAAACACATACACACACACACACACACACACACACACACAGTGCACTGGAAGGCAAAGCAAGAATGCAGCACACCTTGAGTGTTGTACATGCTGAGGGTAGGGTTGTTATAGACGGCTGATTCGCCCAGTAAGGTGTTATAGGGGTTGTTAGAGGCGTGAGCGCGCAGCAGAGAGTTTGGGATGAGGTGATTGGCCATGGCACCTGATACAGCCGCACAGATGGAGAGAAGAACACACAGAGAAGATCAAACAAATGCAGCAACAATGTTAGCATCGTTATCATACAGACGTCTCATCAGCAGCCACAGAAAAAAAAGCAAGAGCAATAACCAATGTTAGCATTCTTATCTCATCAGAGACTCTGACGGTCTATGCGAGTGAGTGTTGCAGTGCATTTTGGAAGAACATTATCTCTTTTACAAAGACCAACAATTTTCATGACTCATTTTGCACCTAGGGCATATAATTTTTTCCCCCAATCAAATGCTTTCTAGAATGTATGGAAGCCCATTTCCACTAAATAAGAAAGAAAAATATAATGCTGTATTAAATCATAATTACGACATAAATCACAATGATGAGATACTAAGTCATGATGAGATAAAAGTCTAGTATTATTGTAATAAAAAGTAATAAATCTCATACTTTTGACTTCTTAATTTAGACTTTATCTCATAAGTATTACTTTTCATAATTTTGACCATTTTCCACTTTTGATTTTTATGTAATAACTGATTTTTATCTCACAATTTCTATTTTCTGTCATAATCTCACAAAGGTTTTTATCACATAATGACTTATCTCATAAATTTGAATTCTCATAGTTTAGACTATCTCATTATGACCGTAATTATGACAGTATCTCATAATTTGAACTTTGTCAATTTTGATTTTTACATAATAACTGACATTTTATCGCACAATGTTTATGTTCTGTCATATTCTTATAACTCTTTTTTTACTGCATAATTATAACTTATCTCATAATTTCAACCTTTTGTCATAATATTAAGTTTATCTCTTAATTATGTATTATCTCATAATTTAGTCTTTATGTAATAACTGTTTTTATCTCACAGTTTATATGTTCTGTCAGTCTCGTAATCAGATAATTACGATTATCTCATAATTATGTATTTTTATGTCTTTTAAAAAAAATATGTTTTGACAGAAAAAGGCTTCCATACAAATGAGAATGTTCCTCCCCCTAATCACCTACTGTACATCTGACTAGCGATAGCATGCAAATCATGTTTTAAATCGGTGATGTAAACAAAACATCTATTTACCAACCATTACTTCTACAACCACTCTATGTGTCCATTTGTAGACTTTGTGTATTATGTTTGTATATTTATTGTTTTATATAGTGTATATACTGTGTCTAAACGTGTATACTGTTATTTGTTAAAAGTGTCAGTTGTATTCTGCACTGTCTGGAGCACGCTCCCAAGCTTTTCACTCACCACGGCAAACGTGCTGTTGGTGATGTGACAATAAAAGTGATTTGATTTTTGATTTGAAAAGGCTAGTGGTTATTTAAAAAGGGACAAACCCTTTGTGTTCTGCTTAAACGTCCCTTAATAACACAGGAAAGAAAACTCTGCTCATCAAACCATTCCACAGAGTGTCTGATATTCGCAGCAGTGGTGATAAATAGGGATGAATTTACAGACAGAACTTCTCTGAAAGGTTGTTAACATGCGAGCATGCTTTAGCATTCTGACAGTTCTATCTCTCCAAGAAGTTGTCTTGAAAATTCATCCCCTTTAAAGCACCGCTTTTGTAACAGATTCTCCTCCATGTTCTTCACTTTCAAGACAATTACTGCTGGATTGAAATTGCCTGCTGTGAGCAGTGTTTCTATTATTATGCAGAATCTCTCGACAGGCCCACACAGAATCTGTGCTCACCCGTTTCCACAAAATTGGATTTTCACAAAGTTTTACACCTTGCGTTTGTTTATTAAATATTTTAGCTAATTTAATTATGCTTTTAGTTATCAATAAGAATATAATGCTTTCAGTTCAGCTCTCGTTTTTGACTTTGCAATAACAGGACTTGTTATAGCCTATTTTTGTTATATATCTGCCCATTTAACACAAATAAACAAGTCTGGATGTGATCCTAACCTAAAGGACTAGTCATTAAGATGACCTACCAATTAGTCAATTAAATAAAAAAAATGTCATTGTATAATCACTTTCTTTTTGATTCTCCAATGAAGACCGTGTCCAATATGAGCTAATTTATTCAACAGAATTTTGATCGTGATTATCTGCGTAGGCATGTTTATTATGCTGTCGGCTAATTACACACCTCTGAAAATCATATGCTGAACACTGAGATAAGCACCTTCAGAGATACGACACAGAAAGAAAGACAGACAGGGAGGTTCACTGGAGTTGAGGTTCAAAAGCAGCTTTTTCTGCAGAGGAAATTATTACACAAATTGACCTTTGACCTGCACAGTGTTTGCGAAGAAGGTCCTGACCTCTGAAAAAATCTCTTCAAAAGTGAGCTAAACCTCCATGGCAACAACATCCCTTTGAGGAGGTAAAAATGCTTCATAAACAAATTATGGCTGTCAGAATTAACACATTAACACGATTACAAATGTGTAATGGGTAATTATAAAAATGTGTCCAGTTAACACATTTTATAAGCTAAATACTATAATTTAGCAGAAGACATCTCAAGATGACTAAGAATAAAATCATAAAGTATTAGGGTAGCAGTAGTAGTACTATGTACTTACTACTATATCATACAAACATATTACTAAGTACTTTCTGTATATACACACAGTTATATATTATATATAAATAACTACATGCACACACACTTAGTAATTAATTTTATACAATATAACTTTTCTCAGTACTTTCTGCTACAGTCATAGGTAATACATAAAAAAAAAAATGGACAAGTCAAAAATATGAGATACTGTCACAATTATGAGATAGTCTAAATTACGACAAATGTTAATAATTATGAGATGCTAAGTTATAATTATGAGATAGTCTTAATTATGACAAAAGTTTAAAATTATGAGATGCTAAGTTATAATTATGAGATAGTCTAAATTATGACAAACGTTAAAAATTGTGAGATGCTAAGTTATAATTATGAGATAGTGTAAATTATGACAAAAGTTAATAATTATGAGATGCTAAGTTATACAATAATTATGAGATAGTCTAAATTATGACAAAAGTAAAAAAAATTATGAGATGCTAAGTTATAATAATGAGATTATAACAAATGTCAAGATTGAAAGCTTAAAAAGTCAAAATTATGATATACTATGCAAGTCTAAATTATGACAAAGGCTGAAATAATGTGACATATAATTAATAAATAAAAAGTCTACCTCACAATGACCCATGCATACTGACTGATTGACAGACAGTTAATAATTGACAGTTAATAATTAAAATAATTAAATAATAAATTGTAGTTATTATGTATATATTTACACTAACTGGAAGTCCTAAAATAAGTTTTAAAATGTTTTCTTTGACTAGAGAATGTTTTCTGTAGTTATTGTAATTCTTTGATGGTTTTGTGTCTCAGAGTGTAATCTGTCCTGTGACAGGCAGGTGACTCCGTAAACGTGTGTGTGTGTGTGTGTGTGTGTGTGTGTGTGTGTGTCTTGATGAGTCTTGTGATTTCTCTGTATGTCTCTCACACCCTCTTCCTCTGAGTTGGGCTTTGTGTCTCTGGTTAATATGTCTGTCCGCTCTGAGCAGCATGAGTGATGGAGCGTCACACACACACACACACACACACACACACGTCTGAGTTAAGTGCTGAGAGCCTAATTATTGTCATTGTGACACTTCCTCTCTCTAGAGAGGGTCAATCCTTCATCATAACAGAACATTATTGTCTCACTGATCAGAACACAGACAGAGAGAGAAAGACTGAGAGAAATCAGCTTCACAGAGGCGTCTGATATTCAGAGCAGATCTTCATTCCCCTGCACACCGGTCTCTCTCTGTCTGTCTCGACTGGAAAAATGGCTCATATATCTAGTATTTTCTTTTGTACATTTTTTAGAAGCTTTTGACATTATCTGAATGGTTTCATGGCACTTTCCTCAAATAAAGGTGGTATTTTTAAACATCAGATATCTTTATTGGAATCAGGGCATTGCCGCCTCTTAACCGTCTCAACTCCATCCCTCAATAAATGTATAGATTTATTAGATTAGACGTCCTATTTCACATCAAATTACATAAACAAGAGTGATTGTATATACACAGAAAGCATATTAAATGCAAGTAAAGTGTTTACCTTAATGTTTCCACTTTTGTGAAAACAAAAAAAAAAACTCAAAAGATTGGTGAAATAATATTCTATAGTCATTCAGCTTAACATATATTTATGTAAAACCTATTTAAGGCTTGTTATTATATATGCCTGACCTGCCCCATCTCACAGCAATTCGTACATATTTTACAAGGTGGCTAATTCGTACGACCTCACTTGTACAAATTCATACGATTTTTGCCAAATCGTACATATTTTACGAGTTGCACGATTCGTATTAATTTGTACGAATGACCTACACCTAACCCCGCCCCTAAACATACCCGTCACTGGGGTTTAGACAAATCGTACAAAATTGTACGAGTGAGGTCGTATGAATTAGCCACCTCATAAAATACATACGAATTGGTCGTGAGATAGCGTTGGCCTGACATGACTTTTTTTTGGTAGGCTATATGAACTATTGTTACACTGAATGACATTTTAGTCGGTATCTTCTGTAAATCATGCTAAAAACATATGATAGTCATTATTTTTTGCTCAGAAAAAAATAAAAATACAGGACACATTCTAATGTGCAGGGGAAAAACTAAATTTAAAGCTGCATTAAACTTATTTTATTGTTCTATTTTCTTTGACCCATATATAATTTTAATGACCAAAACGGAATATTCAAGAAGTAACAACATTTGCAACATTTGGTGCTTATTAAAGTTATTAAATATTAAAGTTCACTTTAAAAAATAATAATAATTTGAAGTAAACTAAATGAAAATGAAGCTCATTTTCATTTAGCTCAACTTGGTGTACTAATATAAAAAATAAAACTCAAATGAAAATGAATGAAAACTGTATTGAAATATTTAAAACAAAGTAACTAATACAAATTACAAAAACACAATGTAATTATTCAAATGAAAATGAAAATGGAAAATACAAAAATAAAAACCAATTCAATATATATATATACTACAATACAATCTTAATTATACTAATAACAGAGAGGAAAAAACACACACACACACAAAAAAAATCAATTTTCTTAAATGTTTCCTTGAATGCATTTGGCAAGCTCAAGTAAAATGTAAAAAACTGACATTTGTGCCAGTGTTTTGTTTGTTATTTGTGGAAAGTGCCTTATTTTCTTGCACTGAAGCGGCGTGAGTCTGCGGTGACCTGCTCTCAGCGTCTCGACTGGATGCTGTGAATTAGCCTGAGATGTTTCTCAGCATCAGCTGTTTTTCTGTCCTGCTTTCACTGAGGGCATGAACGGCGACTGACACGTCTGCAGCTCACTGCTGTCATTCCACTCGACTGGAAACGTTTCGTAGTAAGATACGGCATATTCCACGCTAATTAAATCCTCATCCACCTGTTTACCTCTCATTTAACACAACATACACAGAGTTTGAGCGAACATGAATGTAATCTAAATGTAAATGAAATTAGCTTCATTACATTCAGCTGACAATTATTAAAACGGTCTTAACTTTAACTTTCAGGACTCATTTATATTTTCTCCTTATCGCAACACACTGTCATTTACTTCTAGTCTTTAAAGTTTAATTACCACTTTTTTATTTGTATTTTACTGGCCACAAAAATAGACTTATTTGCATGTTCTGTTTTTTCTGAACTTTTCTCGCGCAATTAAAGCAGCATTTCTGACGCACGGCAGGAGAAACTCACAGACTGAATTTACTTGTAAATGTTTAATGTATTGAATGTCAGGATTGGAAAGATCTTCATTAAAGAAACATAAGCGCACTTTTAAGTTTTATCTGTAGATATGAAATCTTTCTGAACTCTTTTTTTCCCTGTTTTCTGCACTGATTTCAAACATGCAATTATATGGGACGACAAACTCTGCAGGTGCTGGATAAATTCAGCTTGTTTTTAGTAGGATCTGACTTTATTTCAGATTTTAGGACATGATTTTCAGTTCTGGAATGAATATAAATATGCTAAAACATGTCAAACCAAGCTGAGAGCACTAAGCTTTGCTGGTAATCAAATTAGCCAAAAGTATATAAATAAGAGGAAGTCTGTGAATTTTTGCAGAATTGCCTGTGTGTAAAATGTAATGTGTTTTAATATCCCTTGTGAAAACCAAGTACACTTTAGCATACTATTAAAATACTTATTACTTAGTATACTTTAAAGAATATACTTAAGTGTGACTGAATGTTTTTGGACACTGAATTGCATGTTATTTGCGACTGCTGCTGCTTCTCACCACAAGCTGAGGGTCTATTGTTGCAAAGTGCAGCATTCCAGCTTCGTGAATATTCATGTCGAATTCTCAATGACATACCATTCATACCAGTGAAATATGATTTTCAAACCAATGCTGATGAAAACAAAACGATCGCGCCGAGTGACATTTGCAAAGCGCGTGCAGAAGATGCGCCTCTACGCGTCCTCCCAATAAAGTGCCGAGATTCACACAAACATAATCCGTTAACATCAACGTTTAGTTAATGGTTGGGGAAAAATCTGATCTTTGACATTATATTAGATCCATGCATTACAGTAGGTCTTAATACAGATCTGTCTCAATGTTAATCAGACATTAAAAGAAAAGACGGAATTACTCGCTGCTCTCGATTAAACTACTATTTCTAATAACAGATATAAAATAAAAATAGTTATATTGTAATTAATAATATAGTAGGCTAATTATTATTAAGAATAGAATTGGAGGAAAATATGCATGTGAGTGAGTGTATATGGTGTGTGTGTGTGTGTGTGTGAGTGAGTGTATATGGTGTGTGTGTGTGTGTGTGTGTGTGTGTGTGTGTGTGGGGGGGGGTGAG